GCTTTTGCTTAGCTTAGCTTGTTCTAAGTAGGTGCTTTAGACCGCAGAGCCATCTCACCAGCCCCGTGGATGCATCGCTAGATGAGTGGAGAAGTTAGGAGGGTTTCCTGTGGAAAAGAAACGCAGTGGTGGAGTAGGAGGGTAATGAGAAGCTGGGTTGGGCAGGGATGCAGCTTAGAGACAGCAAGCGCCAAAGAGAAACGTCGGTGAGGAGTAAGGAAAGCAGAGATCCCTGGGATTGGGGTTTGATGGCAATGGTTTGGTCCCTCCTTAGTGGAGAATCAAGCCAGGCATAGTAACCAGAGGACTGTTGGGGCATTGTAGCAATACAGGAAGAGCTTCCTGGCTTCAGAACATAGGTACAAGGCTCTATGGGTTTTTTTTTGTTTGTTTGTTTGTTTTTTGGCAGAACTGGGGATTGAACTCAGACCCTTGTGCTTGCCAGGGAAGCGCTTATTCCACTGAGCCAGCTCCCCTTTACTTTTCTTTTCTTTTTTTTTTAAAGTCTCTATGTTCAAACCCCAGTACAACAGAAAACTTAAAACACATTCTGAGCTGTCAGAAAGCCTGAATATGAGTAAAGAACAGAAGGTCAGGGGCATGTGTGACTGTTGTGTGACACTGTTGCCCAGCTCTGTGTACCGTCCCCGGGCGGTGTTGAGTGTTTAGGGGGGCCAGAGTGCCTTATCCTTCACTGGGTAAGGAAGCTCCACACAGGACTGTTAGGTACCAAATAGATTTGGTCTCTAATAGGTATGACCATGTTTTCCCTTAGTTTATGCTTATGGTGCTCAGCTTCGGTCACACCAGCAGCACGGCTGCTGTGTGTTTCCCAGTGAGAAATCTCTCTTCCAGTTTCCTGTGGGCCGCATCCACAGACATCTGAAGACGCGCACTACCAGCCACGGACGAGTGGGTGCCACTGCCGCCGTCTACAGTGCTGCAATCCTGGAGTACCTCACTGCCGAGGTTTGTGGGGGCCTGCTGCTGGACACAGGGATAAGGAGTGCTCTGAGCTGGGGCAGTGACGTGGGCCTGTCAGTCCAGCACTCTGGGAGGCTGAGGCCGGGCAGGGCAGGTTAGTGACTTCCTGAGAGAAGGGCAGGGTACAGCTCAGTGGTCAGGCCCTGGGCTCTGTCCCTAGTGCCACCCAGAGCAGTTCTGAGCTGATAACTGAAGCCCATGACATGTGTTTCCAAAAGACATTGGTTATTTTTAATAGCTGTTTTACATGCATCTTGTCAGCCTGTAACCCAGTGCCAATGCTAAAAAGAAGCTTAGTGTGTTTATTTTTAGTTAAGACTTCTTAAGACTAACCGTGTTTTTCAAGTGACACGACAAGGGAGTGGGAAGAACTGTTCTGATCAGTGTATATGCAGGGGAGCCAGCAGACCGTGCTGTTCCAGCATAGCTTCTAGCTCATGGAGACTGACAGTGGCACAGGTCAGGGGCCTTCTGGTCATCGTCACAATTGCACAACCTAACTTTTTGGCATCAGTACTTGAATTCGTGGCATCACACTGCTGAGCTACATCCCCAGCCCAGCCAAGTTTAACCTCTCAGGAAGATAAGTTATTTGGACAAGACTTTTTTTTTTTTTTTTTTTTTTAATTTTATTTATTTATTTATGTGGGGGGGGCAGCTCAGCCCACCAGGGGGCGGGGCTGGCTGGCATGTGGTGCTGGGGGATTGAACCGCAGTCCCTGTGCTTTGCTAAGCTTGTTCTAAGTAGGTGCTTTAGACCACTGAGCCATCTTACCAGCCCGACAAGACTTCTTAATTCTGAGGTCTTGAGCCCTGCTTTCCTGTCTCTGTCCCCCTAAGCAAAATGATTTGGAAGCAGAGAGACTTCTTTGGCTACATTCCTGAGCAGGAAGCGGTTTGAATTGCAAGCAGGTGGTAGAGATAGTCCACCTGGCAGAAGGAACGTGACCAGGAGCTGCGGAGAGATTCAGGACTCAGCTTGTGTCAGCTGCCACCGCTGATGTGTCCTTATCCCGACTTGCAGGGCATCCATTGCCACATCCTGAGCAAGGACCCTGTGTGGCTCTGCGCTAGTTGAGAAGCTCTTTTCCCTTTTTGGTCTTATACCAGTGCTGTTCAGTAGCAGACGAGAAAGATGTTCACTTTCCTTCATTAATGATGTTGCACACAGTATTCTGACTCCTGTGTTCAAGTGCCATCCAAACTGTGGCTCACCATAGTGTTTTGGGACTACCAGCGATCGGGTCCAGGGCCTCAAACACACCGTAGCCTCCCTCCGCAGATACCCCTTCTGAGAGGTCTCGTGGAGTTGCCTGTGCTGGTCTTAGACTTGAGCTCTTTGGCCTCAGCCCCACTCCAGTAGTCGAGAGTAACATGTGCACCCCTGTGCCCTGCTAAGCAGTGGACTCCCTGTCTCGGGAACTTTTGACCAGACCTCTTTAGTTAAATCATAATACAGTAGCTAAATTTTATTTAATTATTTAATTTTCTTTCTTTTTGTGGAACCGGGGATTGAACTCAGGTCTTTGTGCTTGTCAGGGAAGCACTTATTCTACTGAGCCCTCTCCCTGGCCCAGTGGCTAGATTTTAGAAGTGGGATGTATCTGTGCCTGTCAACAGATACATGGATAAAGAAGGTGTAATATGTACACACAGTGCAGGTCTGGCTGGAGAGACCCATTTGAGTCTTTTTTTTTTTTTTTTTTTTTTTTTTTTCATTTTTCCACTTGGAAAAAGATTTAATTTCACAGTAGTGTAAGATGCAGTTTCCTCACCCAAGTCTCTGTGTTTGTGGTCAGAGATACTAACCATAGAACTGTCTTGCTTCTTCAATGTACCTGAAGAGTTAGAAGCAGCTGAACAACTGCTGTCACACCCAGAGTTGGCCCTGACTACACAATCAGCCCAGTAATATCTGCTAAAGAGGATTTCTTTCTCCGGAAATTACCTCCCACTTTATTTTGACAAAACTCAACACCCATCTGTATGCAGCCATGTGTCTGATTGCGTGGGAAGGTTAATAAATTCAGGGTGAGTTAACAAACTGAATCCTTTCTATACTCACACACTTCTTAAACATCCACAATGTGAGCATTCCATAATGCTGTTGGCATAATTGTTTTAATGAGTTGAACAATTAAAGGGTAAGTTCAATTAGAGCATAATGCTTTATGTAACTTAAAGATCAACTTTAGTTTTTATAAACCCAGAAAAAGGTCTGAAAAGAGAGAAGCACATTTTGAAAGTTTATAGTACACAAATACAAATATAAAATTAAGAAATAAGTGTGGCTCCTTTGAACACCAGTGTATCATAATAGCACTCTCCTGACTCAAACATATTCAGAATTTTGCTTGTGTGATCTTTTCTTAACTCTATATTTATCCTTATTTTATAATCCAAAGCTAGGTACAGTGAGGTTAGCCAAGCAGTCTTCTTTCTGTTCCACTTTGAAAAATTTGCTCCAGTCTTAGTAATATTGGGGCAGATTGAAAGAAAGAAAGAAA